TTCGGGGCTTCAGCCAGGAAGGTCCCAGCCTTGTGACGCCTCTGGTGGAGTGATTTAGACAGGGGTCCCTCAGAAACGTGTAATTAGTCGCCGTCGATACGCTCTGAAGTGCTCATATCCTGTTGTGACTTCCTGTTTACACTGTTTATTCATGCTAGTGTGGGTCTGATGGATAAAGGAAGCAAAGGATAGATCCGTCTTATCGATTAAAGCTTTCATTTCCTGCCGGCAAATGTACAATTTCCTTTCTGTACAGCCTAATGATGGATGATGTCACTCAAATGAACTTGGGATTATATTTTGTTTCCAGGCCAGTAAGTCGTTGCGTCCTTCAGCAAAAAAAAAAATAAATAAAAATGAAAAGAAATGGAGAATGTACCTCTTTCAGAGCAATATGTTTAAACACATGACTCAGAGGGTAATTGCTGAGAGCAGCAAACACAGCCAGAAATGTATAATACTGAAACTTTGAAGTTGCAGACATTTACTGGGCATTTACGGACATTTACTGGCCATTTACGGACATTTACGGACATTTCCCCCTCCCCTTACATGGGTATGATCTCTCGATTTCCGTCACCTTTAGATAATGTTTGACCTTTGCACGTATCTTCTTCATGACCATGAAATATTTTTACTTGCATATATTATTATTATTATTATTATTATTATAATTTTATTTATTTGCGCCAGCGTAATACCGAGAGCTGCGGTACTTGCACTTCATTGAAGCCATGTTGACAGCCATTGACTGTAAAGTATTTTCCCTCACTTAATGTTCAGTTGGTATTATTTTTCATATTCATTGAGCACCTTATATCAGATTCTTTTCAGTAATTGCATCACAATAATTTTTATTTGAATTTTTAATTTAACTTTGCATTCTGCTGTCATGGATACACTCTGAGGTGTTTTTTTTAATTATTATTTTTTATTTCATTCGGTGTTTTTGCTACTTAGTTGTGTGTTTCTCCAGCTATGTTCATTCCTAGTGTGCCTTTGCTAAAAACCCGGCTCTACAATGGCATGATTGACTTTTTCTTCCGCCCCACCGCGTCCTTGAATGAACTTTAAAACCCACATTTTGGATCACAAATTCTTCTGTTCCTTATGAAAAAAAATGTTAACGGCCGTCCCTATACAAAAATCACATTGAGAAGTGACTGGCCAATTTACGAGGAGGTAGGTGGCCGCTGTTTCATATCTCACACGCAGTTTTTAAGACGAGTAATATCAAATAGCTAAATAGCACTTAGAGGTTACGACAACATCAGGTAAACAAAGTGTGGTGGTTGTGCTGTGATCTGAGAGCTTAGTGATTTCCAGGCCGCGTTAAACCGTGTTCTTTCATCTTTGACATCCTGGCTTCACAACTACTGAAAAATTTATTATTCTGCACTGCTGTTTATGGTGATTTAAATTACACTGCCAAAGCGGGAAGCTAGCTGAAGCGGGGAAGGTAGTAGCTAAAAATATTTAGCTGGTTGACATCCAACGTTCCTATAAACCGGAATGTGTTAGCAGAAATAAAATTAGCGTGGTATCTAAACACTGAAATGTACCGTTCGACTGTATGTGATCCAGTGTCAAGCCAACCTAAAGCCTTCGTTTCCGTTTCACCTGCTGCTTGCTTGGCACCGCCTGTAAATCATCGTGTGTTAAAACAGCGGCAAAACAAATGCATGTCTGTGAAAGGCATTTATATGGTGTTTAATGGAACTTTTTTGGAGGGCTGTATTGCGTTTGAGAATGACGTACGTATGTCTTACAATACATTATCTCCTTTTATTGCTGTTGTATTTTTCTTTATTATTATTATTATTATTATTATTATTAATAATAATAATAATAATAATAAATGTGTTTTTAAAACTAAACTTGAGGGTGAAGAAAATAAAAATTAGGCAGGAGATGGAAAAAAAATAAAAGCAAGACCTGCAATCTGCCACCTTAGTCTTTCCTCCTGACATTTAACTAGACATGGGCAGTGGGTAGATGAATAGAGAGGAATCCAGCCATCTAATGATGCTTCTGTAGCCACTGGTCACATGACCCAGAACCTTGTGACCCAGCCAGCAGCCTATAGACTCGCTTTTGCAGCTACAGGGAATGCTTTGTTAACCCAGTTACTAGACACGAAGGGCGCTTATAAATAACGTAAAAGTGACACTGGTTTATATTTAGTGGCAAATGCTGGGCAGTTTGATTTAATATTCCGCTGAGATGCGTTCAGTGATTCGGTTAGGGTGATTGGTACTTTGTCATCAGTTGCGGTAAATGAAATCCTCTTTGCCGACCTGCATTTCTATTTGTGATCTCCAGCAGGTATAATATTACCCACTAAATATAGCCCTTTTGGAGCAGCCAGGAGTTTTATTTATAATATGCAAAATGTTTTTTTTTCCGCCCTTCTCCCTCAGTGACTTAAAAATATATACAAGTGTGCTGTAGATAAGAAATTCTCTAGATAAATAGCAGATTATTAGAGTATAGGAGCAAATTTATCAGTCTTTCTCCGTTCGTTTCACTTTTCATCACATGATGCATTCTCCACGATGCATCAGAGACTTTTACACACAAAACAACAAGGATTTCTGCTTGGTACCATCATGTTTTGGGTTTAATATAAGAGCATGTAACCTTTGTTTTAGTGAATTTGGACAATATTGGCTTCCTGAGTTACTAAATTAATGTTCTTGTAATAGTGCTAAACTGAATGATTTATCTTTTTACACAATACTTGCCATTTTTGTTCTTTCTTAAAGTGTTCAATATATGTGCTGCCTTTGCCTTGTCTTTTTTGCAAACTTGTGGACAGTACCTATATCGCTGGATGCATTGATTTCCACATGTATAGTAATGCCCTCTTGTAAAAGTTGGAAAATGTATTTTTTTTCTGCTTATTCAAGGATTTGGGGGCTTAAACTCGCACTTCCAGTTTGGCTGGATTGTTGGATTACGGTCTAATGACATCTAGGTTTTATGGGCTATGGCATGAACCAGGCCAAAAGTTACATGTCATTAAGACAAAACGGAGCAAAGCAAAGGGAACCGGCAGGAGCCGCTCGTAATATTTAACGCTTGCAGGAAATGGTTCACAGAAGGAAGAGTGTTTTGGCCCCAACAGAAACTATCTCGGTTTAATCAGCCGATGCACAAACCCATAGCCCATAAATAATCCCCTCCTCTGTGGTGGACAGACGGGCGACGCCGCGCTGCTACATTCGACTCTCCCATCGAGAAAAATAAACCCTCAGAAGATCTAGTGCCAAGTGTGTAAAAGGCGCTTTTAATGGCTCCGACAGTTAGAGGATAGCAAACCTCTTGATCGCTGCCATTTCCCCCTTCAAGACCTCGAAAAGCCTCAGGGGTTCACCAGTGCGGAACCGGTGTATCCTGACTGCCATTTGAATGAATGTCATCATAGTTTTTTTTTTCTTTTTCTTAATGCTGTTTCAAACTGTCATTTTACTTTTTTTGGGGGGGGGGGGGACTCCCTCTTCTGCCAAATCCCTGATAATGGTGCTTCCTCTCTCATTCTCCTTTACTGCGGATGATTTTTTGCTGAATCGCTGATAAATTAATCACATGCCGTGACTAATGACTTCGCTTTTCCCCCCCACTTTAACCCTCAGTAGATAAAAGAACGCAGTTTATATGAGCAGAGATCGCCATCTCGCAGCACGTCTGACTAGCCCGTCCCCAATAGGAGAGCTTTGTGTGGACGTAGGACGCCAATCAATCCGCCAGATGCTAACGTGCTAGTGATTCACCTCCGTCGCCCCGAACGAACGACTGGAGCGCTGCCACCATCTTTCGGCTCAGAGGGGGGGCTCTGTCTGCTGGTCGGCGGCTTGGCGCTCGGGCCCCTATTGCTCATTATCTCACAAAGCATCCTCTGTGCTTCTTAAGTATGCCAGCTGTGGGGGGGGGGGGGCGGCTGCAGCCTGATCCCACCATGAGTGCTCTCTTCTTTGCCGGAGAGGGGACAGGGTGGAGGGTGACACCGGTGTCACGTCGATGCCGAGTGGCCTGACCCCCTGTGGTGTCACCAGAGCTGGTGCTGAAGTGCCGATCAAGATGACCCTCCACTGCAGTGACCACACTTCACTGCAATGACCACACTTCACAGCCATCACAAATGCATTAGTGGGTCTTTTGCCAATAGCAGCAACGAAGCCCAACCGAGCAAACATGGTCCCTAAATTCATTTGTGTTGTGATGCTACAGTGCTTTATGTGAAATTGTACATGTATGAGATTAAAACATGACAGTTTAAATGTATAAAAAAACTGACTGAGTGCTCGTAACTGGAAGCATTCCCTGATCTGAGAGGCAAAGGTGAGGTGACACCGGTGTCATTGACATTAGGTAACTATTCCTAAGGGTCCTGACCCCAAAACCAGTTGACAGCACTGTGTGGGTTCAGTTGGTCCTCTCCTGGAGTGAGAATCGCTGACATCATAAATCCCACAGGTTTTTAGCCCATAAGATGGGGCACTGAGAGGGTGGTATGGTGGTGCAGTGGTTAGCACTGTTGTCTCACACCCCTGAGACCTTGGTTTGAATCCCCACCAGGGATCTGTGTTCAGAGCTTGTGATTTCCTTCATGTTTTCTCCAGGTACTGCAGCACTTCAGTCTCATCCTATCCACCCACAGGCAATTTGGTGATGCCAATTCAGCTCCGCATGTTTTTGGGTGGGAAGCTGGAGTACTGCAGCACCTGGAGGAAACACAACTGACAAATGCAAGCTCCACACCAAGAACCCTGGTGGAGATTTGAAGGTCCCAGAGACAACAGTGCTAACCATTGTACCACCACACCACCTCCCTACCGCTGTCCTATCTTATAGGCTAAATACACGCAGAGATTTATTGGTATTACCAAATTGGATTGGACTCAGACTTTTAAGCCCGGTTTCTGCCCCTATTCTGAATTATATCTCACTTTGGATAAAAGCTGCTGCTAAACATCATACATTAGACAAAGGACACTGGGCAAGTCAAATACCATTTATTTCCCAGATGTCATCAATACATTCCAGGTTCAGGATATGAAAGCAAATAAACAACATGTTTTAAAAGGGGAAAAAAAAAACTTCAGGTCATAACTAAAATTTGAGTTATACGTTTGACACTTGCAGATCTGAGGCGGAGGCCACACAGTAGGCTGGGAACTTCCACAGAGAGGATATGCAAAACAAGTCCCGGGTTTTAAAAAAAAAAAGGTTTATCATACAGAATCAGCTCAAAGGTATGTCAAACCATCTAGCGAAACACTTTCACATGTTCCTCCTAAGACTACGGTAAGAGTATTGGTATGCGCCTAATTCAACATGTAGACTATCATGCCGTGTAAAATAGCTGGTTGAAGAAAAACGACCATCTCTACAAATCGACAGATACTCAGCGGGGAAATGTGCGGAATTGATTCCGAAGCGATGGATGATCAGGGTCCAAAAGTGGTAGGTTTTTTGTTGAAGCATTTCATTACAGCCACAATGCCAACGCTGAAGGGAGACTGTCTGGGAACGGCCAGCGCAGAACAAGGGCCTCGGCGGATCTGAAGTCCTATTTTAAAACTTGGAAGACAGAAGGGTCTCCTTCTCCAGGAGCAGGTCTGCAAAGCTCTGTTGGAGTTCCCTCTCTCTCTCCTGCTGTCTCTGCACGTCCTCCCGGAGAGCCTGACAAAGAAAATAAACACAGGGAACGTCATTCGTCCTCTTCTCTTCCTCCTTTTTTGCTGACAGAGCCCACACGCTCTCGGCGTAGAAGGAGCGGAGCGGTGGGCCAGGCAGCCATACTCATCTTGCGAAACGTCTCGAATGCTGACGGGTCAATTTTCGCCTGGTATTTATTATGTCTATGCTGAACTTGGCCTACGTCTGACAAATTCGGCCCATTTCCACAATCCGCCCACTCTCACTTTATCAGTATCTTAGGTGATCTCTACTTGCACCTTTCCCAGAAGCCCCTGGGAATACGTGCCCACAGCAGAAGTAGTAGAATTAGCGAGCGGCCAACAGATGTGTGGTAAACACCGAAAGGCGTAAGTCGGTGGTTGCTCACTTCCTGCCTGCGTGGGATGGCCAGGTCCTCCTGCTTCTTCAGCTCCTGGAAGGTGCGGAGCTCCACCACGGCCTGCTCCACCTGGTCTCCCAGGTCACTCAGCTGCTTCACCAGCCCCATGGCCCTGGACTGGTAGCCTCCCAACAGGATCTTCAGCTTCTTCTCCATCTTTGCTGCTCTCTTGGCTTCTGCTGTCATATGGCCTCGGTTTATCTATAGGCAAGGAAAACGTGTAACGCTCCAGGTTAGTAGGTTGGTAAATAAAATCCATCCATCATACCTACTTGTCCTACCCAGGATCATGAGGGGTGAGGGGTGGGGGGAGGGCACAGAACCCCTTGCAGAAGCTATGGGCACAATCCTTACTGCGGCAAGACAACAGCTCCCAAAGTTGTATGAATTCCCCGTCCAGGAAATACAGTGATTAATAACAGCGCCGACATGCACTTGCACTTAAAACTCCAAAGAAAGTAGCAGAACAGAGCTTACAGTATGACATACAAACAAGAGAAAAGGACACCAGTTAAATACAACCAGGTTCTTTCATTGTTATCTGTATATTCATTTTTGGGGTTGGTCTAGAAGTCAGACAAAATTAATTAAATCAATTCCATAACTGGTCGTCTTATATAAAATCAGAGCAGATACCAAATGCCTTTGCATTATTCTGTTAATAGCGGTGGAGAAACTAGTACAGTTTATCTAAATAGTTTCAAAGTTGGATGTACAAACTATTCTGAAAAATTTCAAAAGCTGCCACTGTAATATTCTGCAAAGAGTGGCAATTCAGAAGCAAGGAGGAGATCAGGAGCACAGATAGAGGGGAAAACAGCCACAATAATTACCCCTATGCATGACTGACTTTCAAATACTATAACTTTACAACTACCTGTGACTTATGAAAGAACAGCCAGTTAAAACAAAAATATGAACTGGAAAAAAAAGAAGTATGCAGTTCCAACATCAATACATGAAAGCCCAAACATAATGCACCTTTTTTCCCCCCCAGTGTTGGGGGGGGGGGGGGAGCAAGCAAGCATTTCCCATAATGGGCCTGTTTTCTTACTGGAATTGTTGCCCCCTACGAGTATTCCGGTAAGGAATGGTCAGTTTCACCAACAACATGCTAACGGGCTGCCTCAAAGCTTCGGTGTCCTTGAAAACAGAAAATCAAGCGTATGATAGAGAGCTTGGGGCTGGGAAATGGTGTCCTGGCCATAAAACAAACCATTTGTTTTCCTGTAATCCCAGCAAAATAAGGTACTCTTAGACCGCCCACCGCCCAGAAGGCCTCGCCTGAGCTGTTAATGCTATTGGCCATAACCTCTGTACCTCTCTTGTGGTTGTGCTGGTCTATCAGAGGTTAGTACAGGAAGGCCCCCCAGCACAGACACCCCTAACACCCACAACTCCTTAAATGCAGGGGGCTGTGGTCCACATAAATGTGGCATTCTGCTGCCACGACAAAAAGTGCTGCTAACCACCCCCCCGAATAAAGTGGTGGCAGCCCCTCCGGGCCCTCAGCGCATGCCGCTGCCCAAATCCACCCACCCGTGTGCCCCCCTGCCGGCTCCGCCACGTTTCCGAAGGGGGGGCGACTGCGTAAATACAGTCCTAGAGGCCTTCCGGCATCTCCAGCCAAGGAACGTCACACAAATGCATCCTTTGTGACTCATCCCCTCGATTAACTGAAGGTTCTGGTTCCCCCGGAACGAAACGATACAGCAGCACTTTCAGGATTCGCGTTTTACACCGTGTAGAACGACATAAGCTGCAGAGAATAAGTATTACAAAACTACATTGTTTATAGTTAACATTTTCATCTGGTAATCCAAACATCTCATCAACACTCTGTACCGAATATTATTAGCAATATTCTCATCCATATTCCATGATTACTTGAATATAAAAACTTGCATATGATTAACAATGGTTGTATTACAGCACTATGTAAATTTCATTACATAAAGGATACTGTATTGTTATAGTACTGTAATCAATAACACATCAAAAAAATAGCAGGAATTTTATATTTGTATTAATACTGATGCATCTTCAACTAGCCTTTGCTCAAATTTAAGATGTTCTGCATCTTACTGAAAATAAGTATCCTAATAATCACAAATTAATCAATGCTGCCCCCTACAGGACAAACTTAGAATGACAACCAGCATTTAAAAATGCAGAGTATCCCTTTCCATTCATTCCATTCCAACTCTTACCTCCAGCTTCTTCTCCAGAGACTCGATCCTATCCTTCTTGCTGGCCAGGTTGGCTCTCGTGTAGCGGCCCTGCCCGGCTAGGTAGAGGACCTGGCTGTAGCACTCCTCCCACACCTGGTTGTAGGCCTCGATGGATAGGTCACCGTGGCCCATACCATGCTTGACGACCTCCATCTCCTGAGCCAGAAGCTCCACCGCCTGGCAGGCAAAGATAGCAGACCAGGTTGTCAATCAATCAGGTTGTCGCTCAGTTGACATATAAGCAATACCTGATGCTCGGGGGGGGGGGGAAGAGACACATAATATTTGGCTATAAATTAGTGATAGTACCATTGACATCCACAAAGGTAAGCATCATCTTGGTATTTGATGAATAAAGTTAAAATAACTTGATTACTAACATCATTTAATTACTAGCTACTTGTAACATAATTTATTAAAAGTGCTTATTATGTCCTTTTGCAAGATATCTTTACTAGGCATGAATGGAGTCATTCTGAAACTGTTTGAAAGCATCCTTTGATAACATTCGCCTCACGCCGGGCTGACCTTTCGGAGGTCCTCCTCAGAGACCTTCTCGTAAGCGTATTTCTCCAGGTACGCCATGTGCTCGGCGTTGCTGGAGCCCGAGCCGGCAGCCTTGCCCTTCTTGAGCAGGGCGTCTGCGTAGGGGTGGTGCAGGCTGTCGTAGTGGAGCATGGTGATCATCTCGCGTTTGATGAGCTCCTCAGCCTGCTGAAGCTCCGTTAGTGGAGGCTCGATGTTCAGAGGCCTCAGAATCGTCTCGTTGACCTTGTTTTCATATGAGTATGCAAGAATTAGGTACAATCAGAAGCATTATAAAACAAAACACCGGCATGTGCACGCAGTATAATTAACGTCAATTAACGTAATAGCCAAACTCACGTCGGAAGGCCTTGGGAAATCCCTCTGTACGGGAATGTGCCTCTGTTTCAGCTCCTTCTCACGCTCAGCGTCTCTCACAGCCTATTAAAGCAGAGGATACTGTAAGCTCCTCGCTCATTAGGATTCACTCAAGGAAACAAGGTACACAAAGATATTTAACATAGAAATTTTATCTCAAGGAAGCTACTTAATAAAACCCTAATTGCATGCATCAGCAAAGAGCTAGTTTAATAGTTAAAAGAACACAAAAACACACAATGGAAAAAAAAAATCCCTGTAACGAAGAAAAGATAATTGCATTTTTGGAGTTTGCACGTTAAGTTATAGCAGTTAATTAAATCCCCCCCAATGAAACTCCACTATGCTCATATGGCAGGTTACATTTAAAAACCCAATGAACAAACCCGACCTGTTTGCGGAGCTCGATTTCGGCGGCGTCCTCCACAAAGCTCTCATCCACATCCTGCTCTTCCAATCCCTTCTCTGCGTTCTCCGGCAGCACGATCTCAAAGTCGTTCTTGGGCAGGGGTAATGCCATCAGGCCAAGCTTCAGCTGTTCCCGGGACTCTTTTTGCTGTGGGACATTTTAGTACGAGTAACATTTACCAAGGACTTTCAAGTTCAGCGAATAGAGTTTGACCTCAAGAGTCTTGGAGTCAACAACCTCAATCTCAATAGGTTGATACTAGGCGCTGGCCCATCACACTCACCAGATGTTTGGAGTACGCTGGATCAGAGTAGTCTATTGTCCCATCCTCTGCATTGATATTTAGTTTGTCTCGTAACGGAGTCCTCAGAGGTGTAACTCCTATGGTAGATTTGGGCGTGAGCCCCCCCTGTGGGGTCATGCCTTCTGATGGATGACTTGGGGTTCTTTTTCAAAACACAACAAAACAAATGGATTTACTCAGACAATGCAATAATGACACCTATTATAACCAATCCCATTTAGTGATTACTTTGGTTGAAGACCATTCGCAAATGCGACATTAAACTAAATAAATTATTTTCCAACCAATACGTGCATTTTGACCAAATTTCATACATTTGAGAATGTACCCCGGAGAGAGAAATATTTTTAAGTAGAACATACAAAATGCTGGTAAAAATATCCACTTCATGAAGGATAAAATAAATGAAGTACGGACAGCTGCAGTAAAGTTAGAAGCAGTCAGGGTCACGCCTGGGCTACCGTGATATTCACTTAGCGACTGTTTTACTTAATGACTTGGCAACTGCAATGGAAATCAGTCGCTAAACGAGGATTAGCTGTGCTTGAGTACCAGATAAAGCCCAGAAATATATTCTGCTCTATGAAGGCAAAACACAGTAACTATGCTGACACAGAGGGAAAAAAAGATGCTTTGCCTTAGTTTTAGTGTGGATTTCACAGTAAATGATTTTCCAACCATTTTCTTCCAAACCGGGCATTGTTGAATTAAGACTGCGTTTCGAGAACAGAACCTAAGAGACCCGAATTCAGTCATAACTGATTTTGATGAAACATGCAGTTGCTGTGTTTTGCCTTCGCGGGGCAGTATTTCACATGCTGTTAACACACTCGCACTATATTCATAGCAAACACGTACCGGAAAGGCGTAGCGAGGACCGTGTTTGGCGTCTGTACCACCTGCCTCTGGGGGGTGACCCCAGAGAAGTCGCTCTCATGGAGGGGGGTGTTTAAGCCACCTTTGAGGGGCGTGTCCACGTTTGTTAGGGCCATCAGATTCTGGGCTTCCTGTTGGAAACGTCACATTGCGGTATTTATGTATAGCCCTATAGGAAACTGCCATGTTTGAAGTCATCGTTGCATAGCAAGATTATACTTAATATTATCAGTGATTGTGGAAAAGGAATGTCTGAGCAGGGAAGGAGGCTGAACTGACTTGGAGAATCTTGTCCTGCGCTGCCGGGGTCTTGGGTGTGCGGAGGGCCATGGTGTTGTTGGTGACATTGTACTCTGACAACAGTGCGCTGGATGCCGAGTTGGTGATTCCAGACTCTTCCGCGGTCTGCCGGGCGACCTCGCTGGCCTGGCCCAGCTTCACCACCTCCTCCAGCTCCGAGTCGGAGATCTGAGTTCAAGCACATGCCCGTACGGAATAGTCAGCCAACTTTTCACCAACACATCTACACCAGCTGTCGCTGACGTGGAATAAAAGATCTTCAAACTCAAGGTCTACCAAGGCATAGAGGCATGGTTAGTAGGATGCCCAGTACTTAACCTGAAGGTTTAAAGTTCAAACCCAGAACAAAAATTCACACAAGTTTAGGTCGGTGAGTTTCCCCCTTTGGGTTAGGACTCTGTGGCCTTGAACAGAAGGCTGCCAGTTTAAATCCCAATGCTGGCAGAGTGATTTCACCATTGGGCCCTTGAGCGAGGCCCTTAACCCTAATTTCTCTGGGGAAATTCTCTGATCCTGCTCTCTGATCCTCACTTGTATGCTGTGCTGGACAAAAGCCTCTGCTATATAAGTGTAATGTAAAGAGTGTAAGCAATGTCACACTGTATTTCACACAGCCAGCACTCAGGATTATGGGGTTTCACCTTCATCAAGGTGCCCGTTCTTGTACCGGCAGGACATTCTGCACATTGTCCTTTGGATTATTTTATTCATTCATTCATATATATATATATATATATATACAGATATAGACATAAAAAGACACGTTTGTATGAGTAAATGTATATAATGGCATGCAGACTACATTCAGACGCATTAAAAAATAACCGCACAAAGACCTCTTGCATATTCAGCTCACCTGCGGAGCGGGAAGGACCAGCTTGCTCCTCTTCTTTGTGAACTCCGACACCCCGCTAGTCTGCAGGATGGCTGACGGGAGGTCGGATTCCTTCTTTTTCTTCATCTTCTGCTTGTCCTTTTTACGGTCCCTTTCTTCCCTCTCACTAAGGCGGGGAAGTGAGGATGACATCATCAAGGGCCAAGGTCACCGCATGATGTTTATATATCAGCTTACTAAAACGGTTCGTCTTGGTAAACATTCATCTCGGTAATCACCACGTACTTGCCACACACAAAATCCTTCTCAGAACTGAAATATTCTGTAATTTTCCCATTAGATATCTTCCACATGCAAATCTCCTGCCAGTCTCATAACTGCCACTGTTTAAAAATAACATTAAGTACCATACGCCACATTTACTTAGCAAACACTTTTATCTAAAGCAATTTACATTTTCAGAAAGCATGGTCAATCAGTGACTAGAGAAACTGGGACTAAGGATCTTTGTCAAGGACCTAAAAATAACATCATTCTCCTGACTGTGGGATTTGAACCAGCGACCTGCCACTCACAGACACGGCATGCTTACTCTCTGAGCCACACATAGACACTGCACTCCTTTCTTGATTCTTTGATGTCTAGTTTCCCCATCGCATGCTCACTCACCTCCTGAGCTCCCCGTCCAAGTGCTGCTGCCGGAGCCTCTTGAAGTTGGGCTCCAGAGCGTCATAATTCTCCATGGAGGTGTCGTAGAAGCCGAGCGCTGGCTTCTTCTCGAAGGGGATCTCTGCGTTGTAGTCCACGCCCCTCTTCTTCTTCCTCTTCTTCTGGATGTCGATCCCGGCGGCTCGCAGCTCACGCCGCTTCTGGAGGGCAGCCAGGCGCCTGTGGAGGAGAACGTGGCAGATCCCTCAAGATCCCCCAGAAACCTAACAGTGCGCAGACCTGAATGAGCATCACCGATGGTCCCAGCACGGCTCACAAACGACGAACTTAATAGTTATTGAGCAGGTCGGCCGGGAACGGCATAAAACGAGGTAAAGACATTAATTATCCAGAACCCTGAGCTGTGACCCTCAAGCTATGGAGAGCAAGATGGGGTAGGCAAAGAGAAGAATTCCGACATACCAGTACTTGTGCAAATATAGGATTTATGGTATGAGGGGTTGTGCCGACTTAAGTCAATTTCACTTTCTCGGATTTTTGGTGGGGGGCAGTGAAGCTTGTCTATGGTACCACATGGGTTTTAACTGGTATTGAATATAAGCAACTGATTATGAAAATAACATCCAATATTTTATTATGCAAAATGCTTCCCCAGTACCAACACAAACATCACATGTTAATATCTCTGTGGTACACATCTTTGAATTTTCATTACAAGACTCCCTCATTAACACCCACAGACAGACCTGGCCTCTTCCAGCTGCTTCTCTCTGGCTTTCCGCTTGGCCTTTTTGCCCTGGGTGTTGGCCAAGCGAGCTCTGGCCTCTGACAGCATCTCCAGCTCATCTGAACAGCCAAAACAGATTGATTCAGACAGAGGACGGGTGCTCAAGATCGCAAGGCGAGCAACGCGATCTGTACCATTCAAGCATAACAGACCATCTTGCACATCACATTCAACGCTAACAAAATGAGAACACGCGGGAACATTCATTAACATGTTTTGGATAATGTGCCATATATCTAAGGAAAAAGAAAAAGGACTAATATTAAATCAACCGCATGAAACAGTACAGGTCCAAACATGTCAATATGTCTGTTTAAAATTATTAATAATCAACTGGTTTGAAAATAATCAGAGGTGGAAAGTTCAGGTCTAGAAGGTACAAATACAAAACAAGGTTTTGTTTCAACCAAACAGCTGTGCATAAAGTGTCATAGCGACAGGCTACTCAACTGATTGGTTGTAACAAAACCTTGGTCCAGATTTGTACTTTCTAGACCTGAACTTTCCACCTCTTTAATAATACATTAATCATATGTGAATTTCCAGATTCAAGTCAGTGTAACACTGCAGCGGATTTGCCTTCATCCATATCCACAGGATCGGGCCTGGCCGGCTTGGTCTCTGGGTTGGGATCGATCTCGCCGGGTTTGAGCTTGCGAGGGTCATCTGTCCCGTCTTCCTCATTGTCCCTCTGGGCGGCTTTGTCTCTGAAACAGACCACGAATCTCATCGGCACACGTCGAAATAACCACTTAACCTTCTCAATATATCCATTAATCATCCAAAAGGAGATAAATGTTTAGAGAGCCTGCAGACTGAAAAGAAACCATGGCTGGATTGTGCTTCAAGTAGAATCTTGGACAGTAAACTACACCTTATGAAAAGATCAGAAGACATGGGTAAAGAACTTAAAATTCTTAAAAGAACTTTTAAAACCATTTCAAGATGATGTGTTCCCTTCATCTGGCCTTGACTAGAAGATTCAACAATTTTAAAAGGGCCCAGGACTGTAAAATCCTGCAGTTATTAAACATCAACAAGGATGCCTGATGAGCAATGGGTGGGAATATGACATTCAGCACGAGCACCTACTGTGTCTTTAAATAGCAAATTAAGCTACACTCACAAAAGAAACTCATAGTGTTCCAAGCACTGGGCAGCGGTCCTCCCAATTATAGGGGCGATGGTCCTCCACTGAGTGGGCATCAACTTCGCCAAGTGAAGCAGCTTCTCCTCTTCTTCGCGGGACCATTCTGTCTTCTTGATGCTGGGGTCAAGCCACTCGTACCTGGAACACAACACAACAATTTAACATCACGGTCAATCCTTACAACTCAAAACAACAGATATATATTAGTATATAGATCAGTATATGTACATGTATTACATCGATTACACAAACAGGTACTTTATTCAGATATACGAAAGATTGGAACTGCAATTTTATCCTGAATTAGATCTAGAATAAATACTAAAAATGCTATTTGACTTCATTTACATAGTAAACACTTGAGATACAAAGTAGCTGAGATACTGGGGGCTACGGGAAATAAAGACCAATAAAAGATTTAAATTGCTAGTTTCAGCTACTTAATGACTATTTTGGAAATCAAATTTTTCTGTCCTAGTGTGTGAGGAGGACTGCAAGCTAATGAACCTCTGTTGTGGTCTCATCAGCCACTAAGCGCTGGCAAAATAAGTCTGATAGTTTTTTCTTGATTTTTTTTTCTACTTTGATTCTATAATGGTTTTACTTTCCCAAAGAGACTACTCAGCCAGTATTAGACAGATACACTCTTTATTTGATAGAGTAAAATGGCTGATATCAGGTATGGTCCAAGAAATATTTCATGCATTTAAGTACGATTATTTAAGTGGGTAATATTTGGGTTTTATTAAAACAAACAGCGGATACCCTCCTCCCTTCCCCGGAACTCAACCTGACAGACTGCCCTTGATAATTTCCTTCACCAACACGCTACCTGTATACCCAGATATGTGCAATCACTGATTGATACAGAACCTCATGTGAATTACAACTGCAGGACACACTCCAAAAAGCCCGTATGCGCTATTAAAACACACTTACCATCTGGCTTTACACTGTTTGGCTGACTTTCTGTGCAGAAGCGACGCAATTCGCGACCACTGGTTTTTGCCATATTTCATAACAGCCGCCTTAAGGATTTCATCCTAGAAAACATTTGTGCATGGAGACAAATACTGATGAAACGTAATATGTTTAATAGCATAAACAATAGACCATAGAAGAGCCTGAGAAACAACATTAGTGTCATGACCATTCTGAAGAATCGCGTCTACCGGAACGACGTAAAATTAATGAAGTGCGGGGACAAGTAATAGCTGTTAAGGTAATGAGCATATTAACCATAACTGCAAAAATTATACGATTATCAGGTTTCCAACTGAGAACCCAAATGAATCACGCTTCAACAGAAGTAATTAACAGCTTGCTGAAAAGCAAAAGAACAAATGAGTGATAATGCAGCTAAAGGAAAACGTTGCTGTAGTGAGATTGACAGATAGCTCATGAACGCAACTTAGCAAATGGCACATTAAATAAAGTAACTGAACACATTAAACGCAGCAATCAGATGTTTTTAAAGACACACGATAAGTTAGATACACAAGCAGAGTGGCAATAGCTTCTCATCGTTTAGCTAGCTAGCCAGTTAGCATACTCGGCCAATGTGATTAAAGCAGGTGTTGTACAAAAGCGATCGAAAGGATGCACATACCTCGGTGTTCCTCCAGACACCCCCCTTGATCATAATCCGCGGCATTTTGAAAGGGTTATTTCACACTTCACAATGCTATAGCAAAAAGATAAACTGCATTAGCATAAGAAAAATGAACACTCCGACGCTTCAGTACAACGTTGCCAGGAGGATTTTGGGCCTACATGTGAACCGGAAGAACACCAGCTGAAACGGAACTTAAACCTGCCTTCTGCCATAGTTGTAGTCTATTTACTTCTTCCTGTAGTTTATGGATCAAATTCACTGAACTAAATAGTCCATGCAGGAATGAAAACAATCAAAGGCTACCCCTGAGAAGAGGACACCTTTTTCAAATTCGTAAGTTTAGAAATGAGCACGATGTTGTAACTAAATTAAGCACAGTGAGTTAATTTACTTATTTGAAAATAAATACAGTGCTTAACTATTCTGCTCATTGAGTACTTTGTGTATTTTATGGAAATTGTTTTCATTTATCAGAAAACACACATGCGTCTAATTTTATGTTGATAACTGAATAATGTTCAAATTCCTTAACAATTATTAAAAGTCACCAAAATAATTTATAGGCGTTGCTACCATTTACCATGACCTTATATAAAGTTTTTAAAAAGCCATTAGTGTACTACAGAATATGCCACTAGATGGTGATAAAACAATCCAGTGCGGTCCATTCTACTTCGTTAAATGATTTACCCAACTAGATTATGCTGTGACTCATCAATCGACTGTTTTTAAATACAGTTTGTCATTCATACTTTTTTATTGAATTATTCAGTTGAGGTGCGAAAGTCCTGCATGGACTATTTATAACTCGCGGCAGAAAATTGATCGGAGAAAGTTAAATAACAGCAGGACAGCCCCGTCAATGGGAGATTTCACGTAAACTGTAAGAAAGCTCTTAAGTGGGAGAGCTTTCTTACAAAGTAAGTAAGTCTGTACAATGGAATATTTCTAATTTAGGATCTTTCTCTTTCTTCTCCAGAATCAGGTATCATTCTTTTGACAAGGAGGATCATTGAAAGACACGTGTCGTTGAACAGCATGTGTTGAAGGCATGTGTACATATCCCCCCCAGTAATTATGTAATATGGTTTAACCTGCTTTTATTTTATTAACAAAGCCCGTTCTGTGTATAGCCATACAGTAGGATGTTCTTCAACTGGCGTTCCGTGCATCTGCTACAGCGATCGCTGACAAATATATGACACTGAGTCAGGACTGTACGTTCCGTTTCTGGAAGCTCATACAGAAAATAAGAGTGCGGGTCTCATATGTCCTGGTTTCAAAGCAGATACAGAAACAGAATATGTATTCTAAAAAGAAAAAAAAAGGGGTAGTAGTTAAGGTATCCTTTTCCCCTTCTTTTAGCCCATGTCTGATCCCGGGAGGACCGCCAACTTCAGACAGAGCGCACATCTGGCCGCAGCTGCCTACCCGCATGTTAGTCTGTCCCAGCCAAAGAACACCTAAGGTCTCCGGAGGTAAACTAGAACCAACAAAATCTCACACTTAACAAACCCCCGGCGCTCACAGCACCCGTTCTGTCAATGACAAGCGATGGCACGCAGCCACATGTGCATACGCTTGAACAGGCATGACGCACAAATGCAGTGAAACTGTACTGACACTGCGCTAGAGAGGCGTGCTGATAGCATATTTATATGCATGGCGCTGAGTCGCATATCGAAACGTGCATTCAGATTTATGCATGCAGCTCAGCTTCAGCAATGGAAGATGTGCTCATTAACAATGTTCATGTTGATATCCAGCTGGCTCCTCGTGCGCTGTGGCCTATGTTGGCCGTTAATGAACAAGTTAGAGTGGAAATTAACCACGAAGTGAAAGGCCCTTTGTTTTCAGTGTAGGGGAGACCGGGGACAATTGTTTATTTTTTTTTTCATTGTTATAAAAATGACACAACGCCAAGGAACCTGAGAAAATTGTGCCTTTGGGCTTTAAATGTGACAGGGAGTTATTGCGCATTATCGAGAAATTCACATCTGTGATCTGACATTTTAAAAAATGTGTTACTGTATAACTCCTTTCTGCATCTAACCCGTTCAACAATTGTTGCCGGTGTTCTGTCGAGTTGAGCTACTTTGTCGAGTTAGGCTACCGTAGTGCTCATCGATAGTCCTAACCATAACCCTTACCCTAACCCCTAAAATAGCAAAAATATGGTAATGAGCCCTGAAAATTTTCAGGCTGACATTTTTATGTTAACATTTTAAGGAATATTCAGTTTAATCTTTTTTTTTTAGCATTTTTTTTTGCGTTTTTTGTACAAAGGAATTAAATTACATTTATTATTATTGTTATATAAAACAGAAATTTCATATTACTTTTAACACTTTCTGTGTTATAAATCATTGTTCAGCTGTACCTTGTACTTCATATTATAACTAATTTTGGAAGTTCTTGAACAATACACTGCCATTGACTATAAAATTCAGTGTTATTCACCATTATCCTGCACCATTCGCAGGCAGAATAAAAATGGATATGCAAAACATTGTTCGGGCTTTGCTATAATTCAGATTCTTTTAGCTCAAGCCTCTAGTTCAGAAAACAAAGTGGAAGAAATTGCCCAGACAAATGTATATTAATAAGCTTGACCTTGGAAGTCCTTTAAAACCCTCTTAGTTCTCACTGTATGCAGTGGATCTTTTGCTGCTGCAGAGCAGCTGCTGAGGAATTTGAAAAATTCACATTTAAGAGCTTAATCCTTTTCTCATAATTGAAAGCGGTAAGAAAACATGAGTGAAACATGGTGCTGTCAAAGTTCAAATACCGCATTTCTGTTAAAAGCCTTAAAGATTTATAACCACAGTTGTTTCCTATTTTGCCACATCCCATGACAAATACTATAATGCAGCCTAATTCTTGCCCAAGAAATATTGTTGAAATATTATTTGTAAATAAGTGCATCTTGATCTCAGCTGATGTGTAACTTTCTAATTGTTATCTGTGTGAAACATTTTATTTTATTATAGCAAGTTAGAAATTATTCCAGATTATAAATATGGCTGTATAATCATACAGTATTATGCAAGTACATTATTGAAGATTAGTTTGCATAGCTTATAATTTTATGCATTTATATATGTATTTATCTGCAGTAGCAGGTAACTCAGTGAAACAGTATTTCCTCTCAGGGATATATTTTCTTTCTTTGTTACCAGTCCTGCCCCTTAAGCAGTACACCGTGGGTGCCTTAGGGTGTGTCAGCACTTAACATTTTAAACACCAGGCCTGATGAAGTAAAGAGCACGACGGCCCTCGCTTTCCCTTACTGTCAATGCCTTTATATTGTTTGATCAGTAGCGCCCGTCGCGTAATTACATCAGAGATGCCACATGAGAAGACAAGGCCTTTCGCGAGTTCTGACAGGCTCGTCTCCCAGGCAGCTAAGCTTGGCGGGGACTTCATTCCACTTAATAAAGATGTGCTGTGCCTCACGGATCGCTGACAGATCCTACGCAGGCCGCAGCTGCACAAGACCAATTTATTATTTATTTACTATCCGGCATCTTCCAATCTGGGGCTTAATAAAGAACGAAATTGGGGGTGGGGGGGGGGAACAAAATAGAAACGGCCCAAATGAGGTCAGTGCCAGATATCTGTTTGGTCTTTTAGGAGAAAGTGGAACAAAATTCATTAGGTCTAAGAAAGATCTTTATAACTGCATCCCTGTTGAGACGGCATTTGTTTGTCTTCCTGTTTATGGACGAGGTCATTTGTCTTTGCCGCAGAGGTTTAAACTCTGAGATATGGATGAGGAGCCAATATCCTGGTTTACATTCTGGTGCCTTGATCAGGTTTAAGCAGGATCATTTCTCGGGGATAGGTAATTACTCTGGACAGAATAGGCTTTTTCTTCGGCGAATGTATGTACAGATAAAGTATCTTCTGGGCCAATTTTAACTGGCATCTAAAAAAGGACTTTCCAGCATCTTATGTGTCAGACATTAAAATGTATCTATTATAATACTGTAACTGTCATGCCCTCTGCAGTGCCTTGGAAAAAAATTGCACTTGGTAATAAAATTTTGTTAGAATATACTTTTCCACATCATATTTGCATTCAAAATACCAAAACGCAAAAAGAAACATCTAAAGTTACCAAAACAACACTGTTTTGCTAACTTTAGAAAATGTAATAAAATGTTCTATTAAACTTGCCTGTTGGCCTAATATTAGTCTATTTTTATAATTCTTACTTTGAAACACGTTTGTGAGTTTGACACTAAGTGCACAGAATAATCACAGGCTGGGGTACATTTCACTCAGGTGACAATTTTCTATTTATTCCGTTGCATAAATAGGGACAACATGACGCAAGCAATGCATTACTTTGAGTTCTTAGATCTTTGGCAGGACATTATTTTTCTTCAGGAATTACAAAACCCTACAACTACATTGTTTCCCATTGTATGAAACTTGTGCTCAAGCTAAGATGGCTTGTGTTCTTTTGTTTTGATTCTTTACATTATTTATTAGCACATTCTGTCCATGCTTTACCATGTCACATGGTTCTGTTTGCTATCTCATATAGATCCAGTCTTGAACATAGACTACTGCAGGTCTATTCAACTCTGGATCTCCGTTCCAAATCCAGGCCTTGTTTTCAGTTCTCCCAGGTAGTTAGTTTAATAATTACTGATTCTGATTGGCCAGAGGCTTCACACCTGGCTCTCTGGTGAAGGAAGGCTGGGAAATGAGCAGTGCTCAGTCCTTGAGGACCAAGAGCTGCATAGCCCTGGCTTACAGTCTTGCTGTTTTACCATTATGATATAGTCTGTCTGGCATATTCAGGGTCTTTGCCAGGACCTCTCTCTTGCTGCACTGTAGATGTTTCTCCAGAAGCAAAGCTCGGAGCAGCCATTAAAAGAACTAAAACAATTTCAGTATCCTATCTTATTATTTTTCAGTTAATTTAGATACTGGGTTTAATATGAATAAAGACTTGCATTTTCCTGTGCCTGTCAATAATTAATTAATAATTCCTATGCCATCTCTGCTTTCTTAAAGTAAAGGGTCATCCATTTTGTGTAGCTACCTATTAAATTCAGGCTCACAGTGAGGCAATGACCATCCAGGATGTGCTGTCAGGATACACAGTAACTATGAGCAATTTAGGGTCACTAATTCGACTATTGATAAGGCAGGAAGAAGCCAGAGTA